TCCTTCAATAAAAAAAAAAAAAGAAAAAAGAAAAGGCAGTGACTGGCAGATGCTATAATGGTTACGTTGCTGGACTCACATATGGCAGACCGTGGTTCAAGTCCCAGACCGGCAACTTGAAACTCGTGCTGGGCATATGTGTGCACGTGCCCCAAATCCCAAGAAGAGAGAGTAGAAGAGATTTTGGTGTGGCCATCCCCCCGGGGGGTGACTTCTCATCTTCTGTCTCTGTCTCCTCAGACAGCAAACGAGCACATGAGCCATATGGCAAAGATATTTCTCTCTCTAAAAAAAAAAGCAAAACATGAAGAGATCCAGTCATAGTCACTGCTGGGAGGCTAGAAGCTGCATGGGAGGCCCAGGTTCAGTGTCTGGGCCAACCTGAACATGCTGGGTGCCGTTGCATGCACCTATAATCCTAGTTAATTGGGAGGCGGGGGCCAAGGATTGCCACACAGTGAGACCCTGTCCAAAATACCTATCTTGAGAGCTGGCCCCATGGCCTGGCGGTTAAGGAAGCATGGCTAACTGCACAGTTCAAGACCTGGCCCCAGTAACTTTAAAAACATGCCAGGTTCATGTGTGTGCATGCCCCAAATCCCACCAGGATGGAGTGATGGGGGAAGGGATTGCAGTGTGACCACAACTTACTGGGGGATGCTTTCTCCCTCTTCCTCTCTCCCTGTCTCTGCCTCTTTGTCTCTCTCTGCTGAGCACAAGCACCCTCTGGAAATTAAAAAAAAAAATCTGTCTCTCTCTTCTTCCTTCTATCTCACTTCCTTTCATTAAAAAAAGAAAGAAAAAGGAAAAGAAAAAAAAAAGGAAAAACACACACATTAAAAAAAGAACCCCTGGGGAACCAGCAGTTAGCGTAATGGCTATGTCGCTGGACTCCCACGTAGTCGACTGCGGTTCGCGTCTCGGACCCGGTGGCTTAAATCTCACGCCGGGCGCGTGTGCGTGCGTGCCCAAGATCCCGAGAGGAGAATGGAGGAGAAGGGATTGCGGCGTGACCATCCACCCTGGGGGGTGATTTCTCGCTTTCTGTCTCTATGTCTCTCTCTCTGTCTGTCTGGCGAGCGCACGCGCCCTATAGCAAAAACCTCTCAAAAAAAAAAAAAAAAAAAGAACCCCTGAAAATAGCTTAATGATGCTTGAGGCAAAACAGGAAAACCGCCTATCATCTCTGGGGGTGGATACCATTGATTTCCAGTCGCTCCTGTTAAGTGATGAGCATTTATCAGGTGTCGGACGTGTCATTAGTGCAGGAGGGGCAACCCGTTTGGTTGTCAGCCACCTCTGCAGGAAGGACCGTACGCTCCCCGTTTGGCAGAGGAAGAGAGTGAGGCACAGGGAGAATACGTAGGGAATGCGTCGGTGTCTTTCCCTCTTTCAATCTACCTAGTTTCTGTCAGATCCCTTCGGTCCCTGAGGCTGTCGTGGATCCTCTGCCCTTTGCCCACTGGCTCAGCTGGGGAGGCTGTGCTGTCCCTGACATGGCGTGGCGGGGGTAGGTCTGTTCCAGGAGAAGCCCCACAGCCTGCAGAACAACATCCGGACATCTCTGGAGAAGAAGAAGCGAGGCTCGACAGTCCCTTGGATCAGTCGACCTGAAGCCATCCTGCAGGGTCAGTGTTGGGGACCAGGAGTGTCAGGAAATCCCTCTTGGTGGTAGGATATGGGGGTCCTCATCGGGGACAGGCAAGATTCTTGGTTCTCCTGTAAGAATAAGAGCCTGGGTCCTTGAGTCACTGGAGAAGACCTGGGTGCAGGGGTGTACCTGGGGCCCTGGTCTGCCACCCCAGCAGCTCTCCTAGGCCAGAAGAGCGGGCTTCCCCTTCTACCCCCAGGCTGGCCTCTGGTACCTCCTGAGCCTACTCCATGCACTAAAGCCATCCTGTATGCCTGGGCCGAGGAGGGGACACTGCCCAATCCCTGTTGGGGGCCTCTCAGGACTGGGATGCTGGGACATATGTACTGTGGGAATTAACACCCCATGGGGCAGTTCTGTCTGTCCTGTCACCCCAGGGCATTGTCACTTCTGTCTTCCCCATTGTCATTTCCAGTCCCAGCCCACCGTTCATGCTGTGTCCCCATCATTGGCATTGCTGTTATAGTCTGTCACTGGCTGACCTTCATGACAACTTCCTCCCACTGCCACCCCCATCCTGTGACCTCTACCCCCCACTAGCATTCCATGCACCTGCTTCAGCAGAGGGATGAAGCCAGCCTTTGGAGCTGAGCCCAAGGCCATGGCTTAGCTGCTCAGTCCACAGAGCTGCGAATGATCTGCTCCGGGACAGGAGAAGGCAGTCGAGGTGACTGTCCACCCCTGTTCCACCCCTCATCTGACTCTAGACTCCCCAGGTACCGTGTACGTCTCCAGAGTGAAGAGCAAAGGCCACCCAACTGTCTACAGGTTCTCCCTCAATACCAGCTTGCCTGCCCCTTGGCAGGCCGTGTCCCCTGGGGACGGAGAGGTGGCCTCCTTCCAGGTGAGCCTGGGCTGTTGGGAAGTAGGCCACCATTCCTGGAGTGGAGCCCTTGGGGCTGCACTGGTGGGCACAGAGGGAGGGGGATGCAGGTCTCTGAGGACAGAGCTGCTACAACCAGATGAGGATACCCCCCCAAATCAGCCAGGTCTGTGGCAGGGACCTGCAGAGTGAGTGCTAACGGCATGGACTTCTGAGTCACCAAGCCTGGGTTCAAATCCTGGCTTCACTCGTATGTCTTTGGGCAGAGCACTTCATCTTTCTGAGCCTCGGTTTCCCTTTGCATAGGATGGGAATATAAAAAGTGCCATCTGTGGTTGGAGGTCCATGAGGAAGGCGTGCAGTACATGGCGTCTAGGGTGGAGGATGGCCAGCTGCAGTAGCCCTTAGTTAATCTGGTTGTTCTCGGTAGCTGTTCCAGCACCCTGGAAGGCCACCCAGGCTTCCAGCTTTCTCCCTCACAGGGACCATTCATGTTTCTTTAGCATGTTATGCCCTCCAGGGTGACGGTGACACCTGTCAACTCTTTCATTTAGGGTGTATATCTCACTTGAGAGATGAGGTCTCTGAGGCTTCTCCTGCCATTGAGCCTCTGCCTTGAAACCTGTCCTTGCAGCTTAGTTTGTGGCTGTCTCCCCAGTCTCAGCACAGATGTCGCCCCCTCCTGAGCCCTGTCCTGACCACCTTCTCGGTTTGGCCCCCACTCTCTGCTGGCCCTGCCATTAATCCCGTTTCAGCATCCTCGTTCTCTGACTCACAGCCCTTCAGGGGTTTTAAACCAGCTCTGTTAGGGCAGGGCCAGGCCCATGTGGCTCACAGCCAGGTCCATGGAGCCTGACCCAAGCAAGTGCTCAGTGAACATCTGCTGAGGAAGGCATGAGACAGAGAAGGAAGAAAGGATTTGCCCTATTTTCCAACTTACACCCAGGCCCCCTGAGCCTCTGCCCAGGACTCTGTCTCCCAGTCCAGGGTTTGGGACAGGGTGGGATATGCCGAGAAGGGAGGGGACGGAGCCTGAGGCCGGGCCCAGGCCAAGGCAGCCTCCCCGAGTCACGTATCTTGTCTCTGTCAATCCACTGCTTAGGTGTATAGAGCGCCTTTTGGTAACTTCACCAAGAAGCTGACCGCTTGTATGTCTACAGTAGGGCTGCTCCAGGCGGCGAGCCCCTCTCGCAAGTGGATGCTGACGACCTTGGCCTGTGACGCCAAGCGGGGCTGGAAGTTTGACTTCAGCTTCTACGTGGCCGCCAAGGAGCAGCAGCACACCCGGTAACAGAGCCTTGCAGATAAGCCGGCTCCCACCAGCCAGGCCCAGCTGTTACCCTCTTCCCTCTCTCTCTCCGCCTCTCTCTTTTTCACATGAGAGATGCCACAGGCAAGAACCCCCTGTTCATTTCCAGAGTTTTCCTAACTAGGATAGGGAACTGAGGAGCATTAGCAAAGGCAGTCCATGGTCTGCCACACCCCTACATTGCCACCCTCCCTCTTGCTGACTCCACTGGGGTCATAGCGGCCATCTTGCTGTTCCTCTATCGCTCCAAGCACGGTCTACTCCAAGCCTTCGTATATGCTGATCCCTCCTCCTAGGACACTCATTCCCACCTCCTCATGTGTTGACTTCTCAAGATTCAGATCTCTATCCAAATGTCACCTCCTGGCAGAGGCTGTCCCTGAGCAGAGCTCCCTGCAGCTCTGTCATCCCTCCCTCTGCTTATCACCTGTCACCCCTAAAGGGTCAGTGGGTACACAGCCTGCAGTGGCACCTTGATGGTCGTGTTCAGTGTTGTATCCCCAGCACCTAGCATGGTGCTGGCACTTAGTAGGTGCTCAGGGAGATTTGCCGAATGAATGAAGGAACCCACTCTGCACCTCCCCAAGGTGCTTATGCACACTAGAAACATAATTACATCAGAAAATTTGTATTTAATACTCCCCCGGTAGACTGTCAGGGCAGTTAGGGGAGGCACCGTGTCTGTTGTATTTACCCTAAGACCTGCTATACAATGGGGCTCCACGAAGTTTGCAGACAATGGAATGAAAGTACGAGTTTATTTTGGTGCAGAAAGAATCATAATCCGTGTGCAGTTTTCTCTTCATGCACATTTTTTTTCCATGAGCTGTTTGAAGACCCCCTGGTGTACTCGTGCCTGGCATGGAGTAAGTGTCCCGTGGGTGCTGAGCAAGAGGCTGCGTTCTGTGCCTCACGGGGTCTCCAGGCCAGCTGGGGGCACCGTCTCCATGTCTTATCCCGGTGTTCTGAACATGGCCTTGCATTCACTTACCCACTGAGGCTGCCTTAGCTGGAGGTCTGCTCTCATCTGCTCATTGATTTAACAAACATTGAGCACCGACTGTGTGCCGGCACTGGGGATACAGTGGCAAACAAGACAGATGGGGCTGCTGCCCTGGAGCCATCTAGCAGGAGACAGGCAGCTAACAAGTCACCAGCAATGCCATTACGGATTAAGAGACGTGCTCTGAGACAAACAGCCTGTCTCCCGTGGTGGCAGAGAACTGCAGAGCCAGGCCCTACTCTGTGACACATAGGCACTGTGGTCTCTGATGGGGGACTGGCTTCCGGCACTGAGCACCCTCATGAGGCCTCACCCTCCCTTAGGGCAGAGGGGCAAAGTTTTAGGGAGGGCGATGACCAAGATGGCTCGGTATAGGGTGTCCTTCTGCCTGCCCCTCCTGGAGCCAGGGCATGGCTCACTCCGCATTTACCCGTCAGTGAGCAGGGCTCAGGCAGGCTGCCTAGGTGAGCCTGAAACATTCTAGAGAGAACTGTGAGCGACACAGGTCCAGTGGGTAGCAACCTGTTTGAATGAATCCTTTCTTCAGACAGAATCTTGAGATTCCCTCACTGTTCCAGTGGAGGCAGGGCTGGGGGCTTCTAAGCAGAGACCACCCAGGTTGGCCCCACGGACCCTCCTGAATACGGGCATTCCCTTGAGTCCCAGCATTTCCTCAAGCCCCCAGAGGAACCAAACCCCAGTACTGAGGAGAGCTGGAGTCTTTCCCCGCACCTTCCCAGCGCCTTGACCTGTCCATGCTTTGCTCACCTCCTCTGACTCCTCCTGGCCCTTCCAGTCTGAGCCGCAGCCTCATTGCCTCCACAGGAAACTGTACTTTGCTCAGTCCCACAAGCCCCCCTTCCATGGGCGCGTGTGTGCAGCACCTCCTGGCTGCCTGCTCAGCTCCAGCCCTGACGGGCCTACCAAAGGTTTTTTCTACGTGCTGAGTGAGAAAGGTAGGCCTTGGGGGGCACCCCATGGGGATCTGGGGCACCTGGGTCCCCTCCTCCCTGCAGCTCTGCCTCCCCCTCTGCAGTGCCCAAGGCCCGCCTTTCAGCCACCTTCGGCTTCAACCCCTGCGTGAACACTGGCTGCGGGAAGCCGGCAGTGAGGCCACTGGTGGATACTGGGGCCATGGTCTTCGTGGTCTTTGGCATTGTGGGCATCAACCGCACTCGGCAGGTGGACAACCACGTCCTCGGAGACCCGGTATGCAGGCCCATGGGCTCACGCCAGAGGGCCCAACTCCCACAGGCATGGACATAAGTCCCAGCCCACAGGGCCACCAGCCAGGTCCTCATATACCCTCTGGGCTCCTTGAAGGGTTAGCCAGCCCAGATGGGACCTTCATGGGCTCCTAGGGGGAACCATTTCTCTTGGCAACTGAAAAAGGTTGATCTTTCAGAGTTGCCCAGAAATCTGGGTGCTTCTGGGGCCCAGGCTGGCTGCCTGTGTCCGTTAGGGACTGGGACAGAGGCCAGGGAAACAGCGTGTTTCCAGCGTGTTGCCTTCTCCCCTCAGCCCTGGGGGGAGGGCGGGCCTTGCTATGAGCTTGGGGTGGTGCTCTCTGCCCTATGAAGTCCCCTTCCCTCTAACACACATTCCTGCCCTAAGCTGGGCTCCTCAACCTTTGAGGCACTGGCTGAGCTGGGATGAGATGGTGCCTGGCACATCATGGGTGCCCAGGAGTGGGTGTAGAAAGGACTAGCACCCCCTGCAGTTAGAAGTCCAGTGGGCTGGGTGCACAGGAATGGCAGACATGGGAAGTCAGGAGCAAGGTGGAGGCGGAGATCTGTCTGTTCAGTGCAGACAGCCAGTCGCCCGTATTCAGAGCAGGCGGCGGGAGGCCGCGGAGGGCCAGGCAGGTGTTGCAATGCAGGCAGGATGTGGGTGTCTGAACCGAGGGGAGAAACGCAAGAAGTCCTGGCAAGAACACTGAGTAATAGCGAAGAGGTGAAGTGAAGAGGCCCATGCAGGGGGAGCAGTGACGGGAGAAGGCGCAGGTGCTGGCAGGGCAAAGTAGGGCCAGGTGGGGACCGTGCAGAGAGTTGCAACATGATGGTGACAGTGGTAGCAGGCAGCTACTGGAGGTGCTTACCCAAGGGTGGGTTGGAAGTGGGACCCAGGATTGAGTCTCCGTCTCACTGAGCCGCCCGGGCCGGTTTGTGTCTCCTTGGGAAAGGGCAGCGTCATCTATGACAGCAGCTTTGACCTGTTCAAAGAAATTGGGTCCCTGTGTCGCCTCTGCAAGGCCATTGCAGGCAACTCGGAGCTGGTGAAGCCGGGCGGGGCCCAGTGCCTGCCCTCAGGTGTGTGAGGTCGGGGGGGCTTCTGCTCGGGAGGAGGGCAGCCTGGGGAGGCTATGAGACCGTGGTCCGAGGTGGGCAGCACAGGACTCATGTGCCTTTGCGGACATATGTCCGTGCTTGTGTGTCACACCAGGTGGGCGTGTGCCAGCAATCCAGTGCTTTCCAGCTGAGAGCAGGCCTGTGAGCGATCAGGACTGCAGTGGTGCATGTGTGGCCTGCCTACCAGAGTAGATTTTCCAGAATTGAGGGCTGGGGTGGGGGCTGGCCTACAGCTAACTTGAATGAGGTCATGCCAGGGCTGTCCCTGAGAAAGCCCCAAATGTCCTTTTCTGCCCCGATGGTGACTGTGTGTTCAGGTTTCCCAATGACACGGGGAGGCAGGCAAGCGCATGCATGCAGGGCTGAGGCCCTCCCACCCACCTCTCACTTCTCCCTGCAGGCTACAGCATCTCCTCCTTCCTGCAGATGTTGCACCCCGAATGCCAGGAGCTGCCTGAGCCCAACCTGCTCCCAGGACAGCTGTCTCACGGGGCAGTGGGCGTCAAGGAGGGCCGTGTGCAGTGGATCTCTATGGCCTTCGAGTCGGTGAGCCCTGGGTGCCTCACAAGTGTCACCTCTGACTCCCAGCCCTTATCCTGGATCAGAGGGGGCATACTGAGGTCCAGAGAGGTAGGCGTAAGAGTCACAGGGTGAACCAAGCGGTCTGACTGCAGAGCTCTGCCCTCTCTGCCCCACAGGCCAGCTCCCTGCCTCCACTCTCCACCGGCCCTACCTGCACTCCTGGCATTATGCAGTCTCTAGGCTAAAGGGCCTGGCAGAGGCTCAGGTCACTCCCCTCTGTCACTGTGACAGGCCAAAAGTGTGGGCATGGTGCCTGGTGATGGACCTCGCATAGGCGGCTGGGGGACTGGCCACACCCCCTGCTACCTCTTTATCTGCTGGACACAATGAAACCAACAGCCAGGAGGGCCCAGAGACTCCCCAAGCCCGCAGTGAGCCCCAAGGCTAATGCAGACACCGATTCATTAGACGGGTATTTTTTTAGGGTTTTCTTTTTTTCATTGTAGTATAATAAACATAAAACCTACTGTCTTAACCATTTTAAGCCTACCATGTACATAATGACATTACATGCATTCACATTGCATATCACCCACCTCCGGAAAATTTGCATCTCTTTTTAAGCGTTTTTATTTATTTATTCCATGAGTGAAAGGCAGAGATAGCACCCCAACAGTGTCTTGACACCCTGATGCACCCACAGGCCCAGCCAGCCCTGCATCACGGGCACCCACATCCAGGGTACTCAGGGAGGTCTCCGGATGTGAACCCGGAACCTTCCCAGGTGGGTCAGCCTCACAGACTGGCACGTTTTGCTCCTGTACCACCATCCGGCCCCCAGTTATTCTTCTTCCCGAGCTGAAACTGCACCCATGAAACACTAACTCGCCACTCCCCCTGCCCCCACTCTGGCAACCTCCTTCCCACTCCTGTCTCTACATGTCGGACTTCTCCGAGGACCTCATGTAAGTGGGATCACAGTGTCTCTCGTTCATGACTGGCTTGTTTCATGTCGCATGATGTCCTCAAGGCTCATCATGTGCAGCTCGTGTCAGAACCTCCCTTTTCAGGCTGGAGCAGACAGTTTCAAGAGAAGTCCCCATTCAGGCCCAGCTTTACCACAGGGCATGGTCCCCATCCAAGCTGACCTCTGCCCCAGGCTGTCAGGGACGCCCACGCACACAGACTCCTGTAAGCTGGTTATGCTCAGCGAGGGCAGAATTGGGTAGTGAGATTACATGCAGGAAATTGCCAGAGCGGGGCGAGCGCCTGGTTCTTTCATTCACCCTTCTCTGTTCCGGAAGGAACAGGACATCTGGGGCTTTCTCAGGGCAGCCTTGGGTTGGGCACTGAGAGCCAGACAGGCTGCCCTTGCCCTCACGGTCCAGCCAGGGGATGGGTAGGCAGGTCGCCAGGCATGACACAAGCTGTGACGGAAAGAACCAAGGGCTTGGAGAAGCCAGGGGAGGCCCATCTGGGGCATCAAGGAGGGCTTCCTGGAGAAGACAGGACCCTAGCAAGCCTTGAAGGATGAGTTGGAGTTGATTGTGCAGGTGAGGGAACAGCACTGTGCAGAAGGTTGGGGTTCTGGGAGCTAAAGCTGGTTCTGTTGGGAAAGGACGGGGACTTTGGTTGCGCCTGAACCTGCTGCTGCTGTAAGCATCATGTGATTCATCCAGGGGCTGCTGGGAGCTCGTGCTGGGTTGGACCATCATTCACACTCCCGCACACAACACACCCCATCAGTGGCCACAGCGCAGACCAGCCATCTCCTGGGAAGGTGAGCAGACCTCCGCCCCCACCTGGCTCATCGGTTGGTGATGGCCCTCGCATGGGCGGCTGGGGGACTGGCCACACCCCCTGCTACCTCTTTATCTGCTGGACACAATGAAACCAACAGCCAGGAGGGCCCAGAGACTCCCCAAGCCCGCAGTGAGCCCCAAGGCTAATGCAGACACCGATTCATTAGACGGGTATTTTTTTAGGGTTTTCTTTTTTTCATTGTAGTATAATAAACATAAAACCTACTGTCTTAACCATTTTAAGCCTACCATGTACATAATGACATTACATGCATTCACATTGCATATCACCCACCTCCGGAAAATTTGCATCTCTTTTTAAGCGTTTTTATTTATTTATTCCATGAGTGAAAGGCAGAGATAGCACCCCAACAGTGTCTTGACACCCTGATGCACCCACAGGCCCAGCCAGCCCTGCATCACGGGCACCCACATCCAGGGTACTCAGGGAGGTCTCCGGATGTGAACCCGGAACCTTCCCAGGTGGGTCAGCCTCACAGACTGGCACGTTTTGCTCCTGCACCACCATCCGGCCCCCAGTTATTCTTCTTCCCGAGCTGAAACTGCACCCATGAAACACTAACTCGCCACTCCCCCTGCCCCCACTCTGGCAACCTCCTTCCCACTCCTGTCTCTACATGTCGGACTTCTCCGAGGACCTCATGTAAGTGGGATCACAGTGTCTCTCGTTCATGACTGGCTTGTTTCATGTCGCATGATGTCCTCAAGGCTCATCATGTGCAGCTCGTGTCAGAACCTCCCTTTTCAGGCTGGAGCAGACAGTTTCAAGAGAAGTCCCCATTCAGGCCCAGCTTTACCACAGGGCATGGTCCCCATCCAAGCTGACCTCTGCCCCAGGCTGTCAGGGACGCCCACGCACACAGACTCCTGTAAGCTGGTTATGCTCAGCGAGGGCAGAATTGGGTAGTGAGATTACATGCAGGAAATTGCCAGAGCGGGGCGAGCGCCTGGTTCTTTCATTCACCCTTCTCTGTTCCGGAAGGAACAGGACATCTGGGGCTTTCTCAGGGCAGCCTTGGGTTGGGCACTGAGAGCCAGACAGGCTGCCCTTGCCCTCACGGTCCAGCCAGGGGATGGGTAGGCAGGTCGCCAGGCATGACACAAGCTGTGACGGAAAGAACCAAGGGCTTGGAGAAGCCAGGGGAGGCCCATCTGGGGCATCAAGGAGGGCTTCCTGGAGAAGACAGGACCCTAGCAAGCCTTGAAGGATGAGTTGGAGTTGATTGTGCAGGTGAGGGAACAGCACTGTGCAGAAGGTTGGGGTTCTGGGAGCTAAAGCTGGTTCTGTTGGGAAAGGACGGGGACTTTGGTTGCGCCTGAACCTGCTGCTGCTGTAAGCATCATGTGATTCATCCAGGGGCTGCTGGGAGCTCGTGCTGGGTTGGACCATCATTCACACTCCCGCACACAACACACCCCATCAGTGGCCACAGCGCAGACCAGCCATCTCCTGGGAAGGTGAGCAGACCTCCGCCCCCACCTGGCTCATCGGCTTGTATCTCCTACAGACCACGTACAAGGGCAAGTCCTCCTTCCAGACCTACTCGGACTACCTGCGCTGGGAGAGCTTCCTCCAGCAGCAGCTGCAGACGTTCCCAGAGGGCTCGGCCCTGCGCCGTGGCTTCCAGACCTGTGAGCACTGGAAGCAGATCTTCATGGAGATCATTTGCAAGTGGCAGCCCAGCCCCTCTACCCCCAGGGCCCGGGTGAGTGGCAAGGGCCGATGCAGAGGTGACCACAGCAGGGCGGGCATGGCATGGCCTGTCAGAGACACACTTGTCTTTTCATTTTGGGTCGAGAGCCCTGGGCAAACCGGGGTGACACACAAAGTGGCTGATCAGAGGCCAACATTCAGGTCTTCTCCTCCTTGGGGGCGCCAACCACACTCTCTGATCTTAAATCCGCCACCTTAAGAATAATAGCCGAGATGGTATGAGCTGTTTCCAGGTGCCAGGCCCTGCCCCAGCCTGACCAAACAAAGCCCTGGGTGGTCCTCTCATTACCCTGTTTTAGAGACAAAGAAGTGCAGGCTCAGAGAGGTCAAGTGACCCGCTCCCCAGCGTGGCACAGCTCATGTGCCTGTGCCTGTCCCCACGAGCCCAGCAACAGCTGAGCTGTGGGTGGGGGCGTGGCAGTCTCACACCGGCAGCCCCTCCGAGCCCCTCGCCCTCTGCTTGCAGGAGTGCAGAGTGCCCTGCACGGTCTGGTCCTGTCCTTGCTCATCTGTGTGGCTGCCGTTGCCATCTTCACCACGCACATCCTGCTGCTCCTGCCAGTGCTCCTGAGCATCCTGGGTACGTGGGCGAGGGGGACCGCACCAGGCCACTCCGGTCAGGCACAGGAAAGGGCTCCCTGGTGGCCTCAAGTCAGTGGGTTTCTCTGAAGCCTTCATTGTCAAATCACTTCAGTGAGAGCTTGCCCACCCCCATGCCAGAAAAAACAACCCTCTGTACAGAACTGTCTGTGACAGCGGGTCACAGGGCTGTGCTCCCCAAGAGGAGTCGGGATCCCTGGTCAGTGGCTTTCAGCTCAGCACCTGTCCTCTCCCCCACCTGAGCTCTTTGTCCCTGGTCTTGCTCCTCCCTCCTGCCACCCCAGCTGGGGGCTTGGCTCTAGACTCCCCTGTTCCCCATTCCTCAGGGGCCCTACAAGGTTGGGGGTGCTCTGAGCTGCCTCTCTGCCGCTCCTCCCAGGCATCGTCTGCCTCGTGGTGACCATCATGTACTGGAGCGGCTGGGAGATGGGTGCCGTGGAAGCCATCTCTCTGTCCATCCTGGTCGGCTCCTCTGTGGACTACTGTGTTCACCTGGTTGAGGGCTACCTGCTGGCTGGAGAGAACCTGCCCCCGCTCCAGGCTGAGGTGAGCACCCTGCCCGTCTTATCCCTCCACAGCTTGCTGGACACTTCCGTAATGGACCCCAAGCAAGCTGGCTTCAAGGAACTGAGGTTTCCCAAGGCTGATCTCCAGACCCCAGGCACTCGCATTCTAAGGCCAGCACAGCCAAAGCAGCACTGTGGGCCTCGGGGGTTCACTCCCCACCTCAGTCTCCCCAAGTCAGCAGAGAGTCAGACCAGGCAGGATCCAGGGACTCTTCCTGCTGCTCGTTCTTCTGAATCCTGGTCTCCTTTTCCAGCCTCTATCAGGGAGTGGGCTCTTCTCCTCATGACCCGAGGCCATGACACCCCCTCCCGGTGCTCTAGGCTTGGTGAGACACGTTCACATCCTCAGTGCCAGAACCAGCTCTGGGTCTGATACAGTTTCCCTTTTCCTAGTTCAGAATTGGATTGATAGGAAAACACTGCAGAAATGTAAAGATCAAACCAGGTATACATTTAACTGCGTTTGGTCAAAAGAAGGGGATTGGTTTCAATCAGGTCTCCCATGGGCTGGACGCTAGGATGCAAACCCTGGCCCTCGCTGGAGCAGCAGCATTTCCCACGCCTGCCTTGTGCACTGTGCACCGGCCTGTGGGAGTCGTCTCGGCCCGGGGAGCTGCTGCCCGTCCCCCCAC